TTTGTTTCATTCACACCTAAAGATGAATGAAAAAATTGTTTAAAAAATCATGGTTGAAGATTTCATAATTCATGCATCAAAGGGTTAAATCTCAGAAACACCACACTTTTATTATGTTTTGTTAGGGCTGAAGCCAAGAATGAAATGAATGTAAAAAATTGTGGACATATGAAAAGTTGTATAATATTTCTACAGGAAGTTTTGTACATGCAGAAACGTTAGAAAATTTAAAGGGTTAAAATAATTGTTAATAATCTGACCACGGAAACCCACTTCAACAGACCCAAACTGTTTCTTTAGGGTAAAAGAAAATGTCATGAATGAAGAGCATTAATCACACTGGCTCTGGTTCTCCGGCAATTACACTAAATGCTTCTGATGCAAACAAGAACAAATAGGAAACTGTAACTTCCATCTTCCAACTGAAGGGAGAAAAGCAAACAAACAAACAAACAAAAAAAAAAAAAACCCCAACTAAAACAGCCACAGGGAACTCTGAAAGCTCCAGTCATGATATGAAACACTTTTACAAGCCACGCATGGCTGATTGCATAAATGCTAAATCTCGCTGTTATAAGAAAACAAAAAATCCAATCAGAGGAGTTTTGACTTCCTGCGTCCAGTGTACAGCAAATGCAGCGTGATTTTAAATGGAAAGCTCTGAGCTGAGTCTGTGACCTAACCGTACCCCGACCTGCAAATACTGAAGGGCTCACTGAGTGAGATGTTTTCAGACCTGGGTTGGCCCTAAACAAAGTGGCAGGGTTGTGCTGCGTCTGAGTCAGTCACTTGAATCTCCTAAACAAACACTCTCAAAAACAGAAAATCAGATGATCCAACACACCACCTTTAGAAACAGACTCACGGCATAAACATGACCGACGCTGCACTAACCACCAAAATAATCACATTTTCTGAAGTAAAGTCTGAAAACCTGCAGGACTTCTCAGGAGGGCTGTACACTAAACATGAAACATTACTTACGAGTAATGCAGCTGCTCTTGGACTCAATTACCCTTTTTGCCATTAGCTAAATTGCACAAAATCAAATTACTGTCCAGTGCAAACATTGTGGAAGCTGAGTTTAAGTGTCTGTTAAGTCAAACAGCAAGTGTGCTCCAAAAGCCAGGAATCGTTCATTTCTCAGCTTTTATGTCATTTGTTCACAAATTAGCTTCATTTTTACGAGAACTCATCATTTGTTGTTATTTTTGAATTTTTTAACTGATGAAGACATGGAGTCTCAAAATGAGCTCCTGTTTAATTCTTGCTAAAATGATAATGAACACATGACATAATCTCCACATACAAAACACCAATAGACACAACTGCGTGTTTTATGGTGAAATGCTGCCTCTTAACATCTTCTGCAGCACAAAGCAACAGAGGACAGACTGATTAATGAACCGGACTCATAAGTATTTGCCATTTGCAACATAATCAGTAGGAAAGTACTGGTGCTCTCACAGAACCATCACGTTAGAGATGTTTTGCCCGGGCACACGCCACAAACACTGCATTCACTGATCACCAATTTCATCTAGAAGTGTTTGCATGTTTTATTTAGCTTCATTTTGCTAACAGCCACATAAAAAGAAGCAGAGGAAGTAAAAGCTCTACATCAAACAGCATGAATGACTTCTTCAGATTAACACGCAGAAGCTCAAAGATCTGACGGTTTGTTTGAAATCAGCTGATTGGAAAAGTTTCCCAGACGATCAACGGCAGCCATGCTTCTTGTATGGCAAGCAGCTATGTCATCTATGTGCACTTACAAACTGTATTTTTGAATTAGTCAGATTACAAGATACACTGAGATATTTGGTGAGTGTTTCACATTATAATTATTTAGTGTTCTCACAATGGGAGATGATTATTTAATGTCCAAAAGGGCCAATTTTCAGCTATATATTGACCAGCATAATAACCTTTTATCCACAGAAATAAATCCACTTTCTATGTGGCCTTCTAAATCCAGAAGGTTCTGCTCAGCGCGTGTTTACATACAGAAGACAAAACATCCAGACACATATTCTCTCCCAAGGTCCTACACTCTCTGCATGAAAGCCAGACGCCAACATTCTTCACTCTAAATAAGTGAAGACTCCATGATTTTACAACTCAAAAGTTAAATAATCATATGTGATGAATGAACAAGATGTTAGGTTTGAATCACCTGTGCTTAAATCAATGAATTTGAAAAGAATATTGTTCTTACAATGATCCATTTATATCACAAATCACTATGTTTGATTTAACAAGTTAATCATTGTTTACACTCACACACATTACTATAAGATACATATTAAGGGTAAGAATCTTGTATCTGAGGAGGGCGTGGCTTTCTGAGGGATGTTGGTAAATACTCAGAAACGTGTCAAATTCTGATTGGCCAAACTTAGCCAGAAATCATAACAAAGTAGTTTAATAAAACAAGAATTACTTCCTGATTAATTCAGTTTCTCGCTGACCCTCGAACCGGCCACTTTGGGAAAGGAATATTTTTGAAACCATCTTCTCCTTTGACCTCCTCTCAAAGCCTCTCTGCAACGCCGCGGCTGATGCCAGACAACCGGCTCTCTAAGAGCCAAGCAAACATCAACCTTTGATGCAAATAAGCATTCCAGCTTCCTGCTGTCACCTCGAGGGATCTCAGATTGGACGGGTCCTATCAGAGCTTATCTACGGGTTTCTGATATCAGAGGTTCACTCCACCGGCAGTGACCCGCACGACCCCCCCGGATCGAACAAAAACCTCCACACCAAGGGTGCGTAGACTTGGTAGATGGCGTCTGATGCTGTTTTTGATAAACAACTCTCTAGTTTAAAACAAACAACAAATTCTTTTACACCCAGATTTCAAAATTTCTCTCAGATCAGATACAAAGAACGGTCGCTACAACATCTAGCTTCCATCACAACACCTCACATCCACTACACCACATCTCATTATTCATATCTTGTCATGTACAAATTATTAATTTAGGAAAAATAATTAAATTCATTTTATAAACTATATATCTGACTCTGTCTGAATTAATACGAAGTGTGTTTATGGTCCCTGAAGATGCGAAGAACCCTAGAATCTTCTAATTAAACATTCAGAGATCAATCAGATTGATATTTCATTTTTATGTGGAATCATCACATCTTATTGGTCATAATTAATTGCTACAATTTTCACTTATGTGTTTTTGTTAATTTTGCATCAAGCCCAGATCAAATGAACTAAAATTAACACTTGTTCTTTTAGGCAACGCTTTCTTAACCCAACAGAAACACACATTTAGTGGATAAAAAATAACGCGATTTTGGTGTTTTACAGTGGAGATACCAGCTGGCTGATCCCACGTCGCTGTACATTACGTGTCTTTCCTTGTTATCCAAGTGATTCTCTGTCTTTAAAAGGGGAAAAAGTATTTGTGTACTTTGCCCCATAAAATGAACCCATGCTGTCCCATAATAATATACCCGAGCACCCGTGATACTCTTACACCCTTTACATACGAAGCAGGAAATAGATGCAACAGCTGTTTCTGCTGCTCACTATTTAACAGTTTTTGATGAGAAGAAGTCGTTCTGTGTTGAGTTGGCATGCTCTCCTGTGCATGCATGGGTTTTCTCTGGGAATTCCAGTTTCCTCCCACAGATGTTCGGTTTATTCTGCAAAATAAAAAAAAAAACATAAACACGTGTGTGTGTGTGTGTGTGTGTGTGTGTGTGTGTGTGTGTGTGTGTGTGTGTGTGTGTGTGTGTGTGTGTGTGACCAGACCATGGTTTGAACCAGTGGTTATTTGTCATATAGAACCAGTCTGACCTCTGACATTAAAAAGGTGTTTTTGTTAAAGTCTCTTCTTTTGACCATTCTGTAAACCCCAGAGATGGTTGTGGGTGAAAATCCCAGCAGTACAAACAGGTACTAACAACCTCATCACCTCTAAAGTTGTTTAAATCATCTATATATTACTTTTTGAGCAACAGTGGCAGAAGAGTTAAGTGTTTGCCTTGCAGGTTCAAGCACATAGTCGTTGCGCCCTTGGGCAAGACACTTAACCCGCCTTGCCTCCCTTTGTGCCTTACTTCCATCAGTGTAGCTCATCACCCGAGTGAACGTGTGAATGGATGAATGACTGACTGGGTTGTAAAGTGCTTTGGGGGGGGGGGGGGCTTTAGAACCCTAGAAGGTGCTATATAAAAACCTTGAGTTGTGTCATGTGATCAGCTGATTGGCTGTGTTAATCAAATGAACAGAAGCTGTTGGCTAAACAGAAATGACCAGAAAAGTGCATCGACCTCAACAAAAGCCCCATCACAAAGTTAAGTAATTAGCAGGTTTTAAATGTCTTATTATGGTGCAACTTTGAATAAATCTTGATTTTCCTGAATTGATTTTCAGAGCTAATTACGCTCGATTAGAGTTCCTAATGTGAAGATGCGCTGCTGCTATCGGATAGATGATGATGTTATTGATGATGATGGTGGTCACGCTGTGATTATGACGGATGAAGAACATGATAGGGCATCAGTGTTAATCACTACCAGCAGGTGAAGAGGAGCTCAAAGCCTAGAAACTAAAGCGTTGTCAGAGGTAGGCGTTCAGAAGAAAAGGAGAGAAAAAAGACTGGGAGAGGAGGAGGGGGGCAGAGAGAGAGAGAGAGAGAGAGAGAGAGAGAGAGAGAGAGAGAGAGAGAGAGAGAGAGAGAGGAGAGAGAGAGAGAGAGAGAGAGAGAGAGAGAGAGAGAGAGAGAGAGAGAGAGAGAGAGAGAGAGGAGAGAGAGAGGGAGAGAGAGAGAGAGAGAGAGAGAGAGAGAGAGAGAGAGAGAGAGAGAGAGAGGAGAGAGAGAGAGAGAGAGAGGAGAGAGAGAGAGAGAGAGAGAGAGAGAGAGAGAGAGGAGAGAGAGAGAGAGAGAGAGAGAGAGAGAGGAGAGAGAGAGAGAGAGAGAGAGAGAGAGAGAGAGAGAGAGAGAGAGAGAGAGAGAGGAGAGAGAGAGAGATGAGAGAGAGAGAGAGAGAGAGAGAACAGTAACTGCGCTTGTCCTCCTTGGACTCAGTTTCAGGACCGACTGACGGGCAGCGCGCGTTGACTGACGGAGAAACTTGAGACCTTTTCAATGAGATCTGACGCTTCAAGGTAATTCCCTCCTACAATTAATACGGACATGATTATTATGACGTTTTTATTTATGTTTTTATTTTTTTATTATTTTCATCTCTTCGGCCAGGCTGGCTGAAGAGATGAACAGACCCAGTTTCCTCTCGCTCGGTATTTGGGAATTGCGAGGCGGCTTTTTGGCATATTCACCTGCCAAAAAATAAAATTCTGACTCCAGCCTCCTGAAACCTTTAAAATAACCTCACAGTGGGTTATTCAGTAAAGTAGCGCTCAGTCATTTTAGAAGCATGTGGTAAATCCCCGTGATGGAGCGAGTCCGTGCGCATTTGTGAGACTCAGACACGTCAGAGGGCTCCATGAAAGTGTAAAATGACTCTCTAGCTGTAGTTTGAATATTTAACATGCTGCTTTGAGTTTAGTTGTCGTTTGTAAGATATAAAGTCCATTTGCGTGTCAGGGAGATCGTGAACCTGTCATTTGGCGCACACTGACGTGCGCTCACGCGAGGGAATTTAAACTCCGTTATAAATAAACGACACTGACAGATTTTCTTATTGATCCGCTATTCGTTAGCGCAGATTTGTTTCCCGTTTCGGTTGCGCCCCAAGGTGAAGGGGACGGCGCGGTTAGTGCAAACCGGACAGGCGTAAGATTTTACGCGCGCGGGGCGATTCCGCGCAGACGGGCGCTATTCCTCACGAATGCCGCCACAGAGACACCCGAGGGTAAACCGTTTGATTTTTTACATGATTAATGTGTGTGAGTGCGCACGAGGGCGCGCGTAAATCCATCCGCGGTTCGGCGCGTTTCTCATGAGGTTGCGAGTTTAGCTTCAAAAACCGGCTTAATTGCGTCCGTACATCACACGACCTCATAAGTCGATGATAATAAGTATTTGGCTCCATTACCACAGGGGTCGGGAATGCGGCTCTCTTCCCAAAATCCATCCCCCCCTCCTTCATCCAACCTAACGCACAAATGTAATAATGTTTACGTGAGACCTTAAGTATCATCTGCCCTCCCGGGGGAATACATTTGCTTGGATTTATGACCTGCCTGCTCGGGTTATATCGATTATCGCAGCCTGCTGTGTTCTATATTCTAGTAAGAGCACGAAAAACTGGCTCCAGCTCATCTATATATAATTTCGGGCGGCTGCAGGAAGCGCAGCAGCGTTTGAAACAGTCATCTCTGCAGCTGAGGTCAATTCTCAGATGAAACATCTCCCCTCTTAGAGCCTCTTGATCATATAACAACACACACACACACACACACACACACACACACACACACACACACACACACACACACACACACACACACACACACGCCTGATGAGCCTTGAGTGACTGTAATGGTTCTGGTGTGTGTGAGAACTGCTTATGTTTGTGGAAATTTCAGCTAAGGATCCCCGTGAGAACAACACAACTGCATTCGTTAAGGTCCGTCTATGATTATGTTTGATATGACGATCCGTGCTGGCAGTTGATTACACCAAAGCACTTGTCTGCAATTTCCCAGGACCAGCTGCGACTTGGTTGGAGCTTTTGCTTGGAACAAAATCAAAGGAGGGCAGCACCCTGTTCTTTTAATGTGTTAGCATGCAGTTAATAGCTGTTTACATCAAATAGCAATTGTGTTTACCCAGACGGGGATCGGAGAGCAAAAGGGAGATGTAAGCGGACGGCAGAGGTAGATAAGGGAGAGAGGAGTACAAAGGGGGGTGAACAGAGAGGAAGGAGAAAGGTAAAAGTCATGGAGAGCTGAAGAGTAGAGACATGTTGTTACAACAGAGCAGCATTAGCACTGATGATTGTGTGTTTCTGTCTGATCACTGTGTCTGAGGACCAGTCCTAATGTCCAAATGTTGAGAAATAAGTCAGATGGTCCCAATGAAGCTCCCTACTGTTTTCCAGGTTTCTTTTATTATTTTAACTGATGGTTCTGGGTTTGTTTTACTGCAGATTAAAGCTACAATGGCAAATCTGCAAAAACGAGATAGAACAAAGTTCTAGGCGTCCGACTCACCGGTGCACTGTGCGTCCACATTTACCTGGGTCCACCACTCATTATGCGCTCTTGCATTTAGCAACAGAGTACCACGGGTGTGAGAGGTTCTCAGCTCAACAACATCAGAGAAGGAGAAACAGCCGGCTACTACCACTTCAGCTTTAGGTCAAACTACCAAAGTCCAAAAAAGAAAATCACCATTTGAAGTCACGGACAACAAAGGACATTTGGACAACTGTGAATGGTGTTTAGAGCTCTCTCGTTTTCCCTGGCAATGTGGTTTCAGGATCAGGGGTGTGTGGCTTGGGGATGATAGCTGGCAGGAGGGGTTGCCTGATGGTATTTGTGTTTAAAAGCTAGCTTGTTTTGCAGATGTAATGTTTTGCAGGCTCTAAGGACTTGGCTGGCAGTTTTTGTGGGTGAAAAGTTTCAACCACTGCTCTAAACTTCTGTAAATTGAGAGAAATAATTTAAAGGTGGTGTTTAGCTTAAGGTATACGTTAGAGTGGATGAGTTCCAATTCATCACCATGCTGACTTGTATCCAGACTCTTCATCCTCACTTCGTTCTTCTGTCTGCTCTGACACGTTTTACCACAAAGGAAAGTCAAATCCCCAACATTCACCCAGAACAGCTTCGTGTGGACGTTGAATAGAAGCAGACTAACTGAGTTCAGCTGGAAGAGTTTAAATTGTTCTTTTTTGATTTGAACTCCCCGGCTCAGGAATCCCATGTCAGGATGACGGATCTCCCACTTATAACCATTCCAGATTCCATGCCTCCCTTCCGTTATCGACTCAATCAAAGTACGTCAGTGATGTTACAGATGTGCCCAAACATGCTGATCTCCGTTCTGCGGAGGGAAACGTAACCTTACACGGATCCGACTCAGGGGACACGTTGAATTATTACTGAGTCCCCCATTTCCTTTTGATTCCCTCCTAATGAGAATGAGAGAACCCCGATGATGTTCACCCCAGGGGTCTTTTCTCTTTTGTGGCGAAGTGTGTGTGTGTGTGTGTGTGTGTGTGTGTGCACGCGCGTGTGTGTGTGTGCACGCGCGTGTGTGTGTGTCAGTCGATGGCTGCCTACCATTCATTAGCTGACAATTCAGTGAAATGAATCAGACAACATGGCCTCCCAGGAAAATACGTGGAGAACAAGGAAATGACTGCTTAGTGCTCGACACATGAACGTTCCCCAGGGCCTTCGCGCTCAGAGATAATGCAGTGGCTCAATTCCCATTCCAACGGTTTCAAACAGGAAGGGAAACGGGGAGCTCCTGCGATCCGTCGTTGCTTCAGATCCTGCCTTTGCTGCCCCTCCTCCTGCTTTCCAGGCATGGAGAAAACAGAAGGATCTGTGTAAAACCTTCAGCAGTGTGCTTCTCCTCTGGTGTCAGTCTTTTGAAGAGTGAGTAATAAGGCCAGTGACTCGGCTCTGACTTTGCTCACAGCTGAATTTCAACTATATCATCTCCAATTACCTACTCAAGGCAAGTGACTGATGAGCCATCTTTCACCCACACGTGATGCTCCCTTTATACTCCGGATGGAAATAGATGATGATGTACTATACCTTCGCTCCGTGCCCTTTTGATGGCGATCGTGCATTAAAGGAGGTGGAAGGCACGAATGCTGATGCTAACTTTTTAAAAAGGGACATTTGACAGCGGTTCTCCAGCAGGCATCTCTCAGGAAAAGTGTAGGAATTAGGAACAACATCCTTCACGCTTTTTCTTTTTTGCCATCTTTTCAAACATTGCCTTCAGCATCCCCAGATGGATCTTGAAAGTAGGACATACTGACCCAAGCCTTGGAGATGCCATGTGGAGACATGGGGCCACCCTCTCCCTGGTGGTGACAGAGCGAGCGAGCAAGCTGGGGAGTGGGGTAGGGTCATTTAGAGGAAATGGCGATGTCTAGTGGTGCAGTGTTTTTCCTCAGAGGAAGCCTGCGGGATGGTGTTTCAGACTCTGTCACGGTCTGATTGTTCGCAGACCAACAGCACAGTTTACTTGGGTGCAAGTGGCAATGCCAGCAGCTTGTGTGGAAGGCGGGATTCACACACATTTTCATTTGCCCACATCACAATTTCAAGCCATCAGACAAGCAAAATGCATGTGTATGCAGTTTCACATTTGCTATTGTGAGTTTCCTCAACTTTATTCCCCTCCATGGAGAATGAAAGTGCAGAGACGCGTTCATTTTTCTGCTGCCAGCAGGGGGTCTGTGCTGCTGCCTGGCTGGACTTGATCTGTGTGCTAGATTGGTGGATGCGAGTCCCAGTTCGATGGTGGATGGCTGTTCGGATGGCTGGAATGAAGGAAGACTCTTGTGAAAAAAAGAACAGCAGCTTGCTCCACTGGAGACATAATACAGAAAAACAGAAGTCCACCCCGGGCTGAGTGTGTTGGCGATAGCGTGTGCGTGTGTGTCCTGTGTATTAACATTTATACCCTGCTGTGTAGAAATGAAAAAGAAAAGGAGCAAAGGGAGTCAGACATTGACAGAATGAGAAACTTTGGATGACTGTTTGTTGTGTGTGTGTGTGTGTGTGTGTGTGTGAGCTGGTTTAGGGCTTTTACCCCGTGGCTGAAAATGGGGAGAAATGAGATGAAATAGATTCATTTCTCTTTAGTGTGGCTAGAACGTTGCATTTAGAAAAGACAAATTGTTGTTTTTTGAATTTCGTACATCTCTAGAAACCCATCTGTGGGTTAGTCAAAATTAGTATTCCAGGAAAATGACTTCCTAGAACTCGCATCGTTCAGCAGTGTTCTGATTACCTTTCCTTCCAATGTTTTGGAACAATTCAGTAATTACATTGTAATTAATAATTCAGGTAATGCTCAATTAATTCTTCATCTGATGGGAATTTTATGGCGGGTTCATAAGGCATTAACTGATGGCTAACCACATGCTGTGATTAAATTTGCTAAGAATTTAGAAAAGTCTGACCTTTTGTTTCAGTTTAGCCTTATTTTTGTTTTTCTTTCTCTTTAAGAA